GCGGAGTGTTTTTAAGTTCGCACTAATTGGCGGAATTGGCCAATGGTGCAATTTTCTTTCAAGCTTTAGCGACGAAAGAAAAATTTTGGGGTGCCGCAGAACGTAAAAAACAAGAAGCGCAGCGAGTGTTTTTAAGTTCGTGTGCGGGGGCGAAGCCACGGGGTGCCGTTTTGCTTTCCGAGCTTGCGACAGAAAGAAAAAACGGGGGCGCAGCGAAGCGAAAGCCACGGGAACCGACCAGAACCCGAAGAGCGCGGAGCTTATTTATAAGCGCGCTTTTTTCCGAGTGTTGATTTTGTAAATTGGGGGCAGAGCCCGGCAGAGGGCGTCGGGAAACTTCCCGGCTTTGGCTTAGAATTGCTTAGACGGTCAAAAAAAATTTATTTTTTCTTGAGCGACTTAGGAATTGTTAGTCAAAGTCGGTAATTTCCGACGCTCTCTGCCCCAAATGTCCTAAAACCAGCAAAGCGCTGCGGCGCTTAGTCTCACAACGAAGCGCTTGCGCACGTGGGACGGTGCTTATTAGAATAAAGCCTGATTTGCACCTGTCGCATAAACCGACCGTTTACGGGTCGGCGACAGGTGCAAATCAGGCTTTATTCTCTTCTGAATAACGCATTATTAACGACTAGTTAATGCGATATTCAGACTCTAATCAGTAGTAATTTTATCACAGCGGCCGCGGCAGTGGGATAAATTCTAGCTGATTTGAGCTTATAAGATTGTTCAAAATCGACCAATCGGGCGATGAACAATCAAGCGTTAAGCGAGTAAATTTTGGAGCTGCGCGACTAAATTGAGAGCGTGATTCATACAAGACGGCTTTCGAGTTTTCGATGCGAAGCGAGTAAAAAACTCGAACATATCCGTCTTGTTGATAATTCACAATTGAAAATCTGAAGCTGCGAAGTCGTCGAATTAATGCAATTAATTCGGGTGCGACAGTAGCAGGTTTGTAAGTTTTGGTTTGTTTATCAAACTGATAAAACGAATTATTTTCGATATCGTTTGAGTTGTTTTCTGTATCGTCTGAGTAGAGGTCATCATTATCATCAATTTGCATCATTTTTAAATTCTTAAAAACACCGCCAGCACTAAACAATCTT